TAATGGATATCAATCAAAGATGTCACATGATAACTTACTTGAGAAAAAAAAGTAATTTGTGTTATAAATAAAAAAATGACGCACTCCGCTATCGCCCATGTCGACATGAGGCGAAAAGGAATGTGGTACTTCCTACCTAGTCTTAAGAAATTCTTCCACATTCCTTTTCGCCTCATGTCGACATGGGCGATGGCGGAGTGCGTCATTTTTTTATTTTTTATTTTAATTTCCCCGGATATAAATTCAAATCGTTTTACATTTTTTTTTATTCGTCTCGCTACGCTGGCGGGGCACCGGTGGAGGATAATAAGATAACCATGAAGTCAAGTCAGTTAGCTCATCGTGACAAATTCACCAGGCATTTATCACGATATATTTTCCAAGGGGAACCGCGTGGAGGTCAAGCCGACATGGTACATTGCTAGCAATGGGATTTCCTAGTTCCCATTACTAACAGTCCACTTCCCCCTTGGGGTGGGCCATGAGGTCGGGTTGTGCTCGCTTCTCCCCTCCGCCAATTTCACAGTTGGGAGTATTACTACTGCATACCGCGATGGCGGAACTGGGATGCACTTGGGTTCTAGGCGAGACTAGAATGCCCGAACTCTGGCTGGGACGATCTTGGTGGGGTCGAAATCGAAGTCCCGCACAACTTTCTAGATGCTCCTCTGGCTTTGGCGGTGCCAGTGGAAGGATTTGCTGTTGAAACATCTTGATCACCTACGAGAGATGAAAGAATGCACGGCCGGCAGTCAACGACCACGTACGATATCGTGAAGTAAACATGCGTCTATCTATAAGTGTGAGCAGTCTAAACATATATACATTCACAGCAACGTAGAAGTATATAATAATTATAGCATTTTCTCGATATTTAGCAATAGGTACAATTACATACCAATAGCATTTTATTCTACGAGTATCATACATATACTAAAATCATACACGAAACAAGCCAAAAATCTTATATATTTTATCCAAGTCTCTAAAAATCCGTTCAAACAATAAACTTATCGTTTACCTGCCCCGGTTACCTAGGGGAAACAACTTTCCGTTTCCATTTTAGTTGTTTTGTAAAATGATGTTGAGTATTCTGAATAGTATTTAGGTATTAGGTACTGAATAATAATAGAACATATTTCTATATATAAAACATAACATCAAGTAACAACATGCTGCCATGAATATGTCACAACTCAGAACATGCTAAAATGTTGAGGTAATGGTATGGTATGTAGGATATATATACTCTCCTGGAATTAAATTTATTAGTAAGGGACCATTCATAAATATAAATAACGTTATATCAATTTCAATTATTTTGACCACCACCCTTACCCTTAACACAGCTGATCTCGTTTTACAACAGGTTACAATTTAATGGTGTCAATACTAAAGATGAATATAAAAAAAAGACTAAATGTGACTAGTTCAACCATTTATTATACAATGCCACTGTTTGTCAAACCCTCGCTCGCCATTAACGTGTGACGTAAATTATAGACGGCTCTTTTATGGATGAACTAGTGACTAGCTACTTTACTAATAATCTAGTGTCAGGACCCCCATACGGTCTCCCCTGGAAGATTTATCTATGTACCACTAGTCACATCGCAGTATGATAGAATAACTATGAATTCAAGTCACTTAACTTATCGTAGTGAATTCATAAATGGTACACAGGAGGGACCGCGTGGTGGAGGTGGTTCATCACATCCTATTTAAAGAAAGTTAAACCTAAACGGAAAACACTAAACGGCTTATAATTTGATTACCTAATGGGGGATTTCAAATGAAGGAATCAGTCCCTTAGTGGATAAACCCAAGATGAACTTACTTGTATTCCTAGGATTAAATCCTTTAAAAAAGTTGTTCAGAACCCCTTTAGGGAAGTCTACATGTGGTACTTCCGTTATTGATTTAAAAAAAAATTATATGTAAGTACATACATAGATATATCCAATTGAATTTTGTACTTAATCAGTCAATGTTCATACATATATAGACACTTCCCTGGATGGTTCCTGAATTTTTATATTGAACTAGAGTGGTAAACAAGATGACAGTCCACCAGGTAGGCAACAGTAACCTATATCATACAACACACAAAATATCACATCAACATTCTAGATTTGTTTTGTCAATTCTATGATTTTTTCATGACGTTGGTATTCCGATAAATAGTGAGTCAGTGTTGCAACATCTTGTAGTACAATAGTTGCCGTTTTAAAGGTAAATTATGCAATAGAGTGTTTTTTTATTACTAATAGGTATGACATATATTGTTGACACTGGCACATCACTACTCACTCGATTACCGCTTTTATATGAAAAATATATATTGTCAAAAAACTATATTGTACGTTCATAATATTCTATTAACTAAAAAAACTATTTATATAAAACAAGTCGTTTTTCCATCGATCAAGCATATCAAATAGTAGCAGAGCATATGGTAAGAAAATTCGACAAAGTTATGAAGTAAATAGATACATATAATATAAAAAATGGCGACATATAGAATTGAACCATTACATAAAAACAATTAAGATACATGGTGTCTCCAGGAACAAAGAGTGCTTATAAAAACCGATTTATGGGAATATGTTATTGGGCAAATTTCCTTAGAAACAGATGCATGTCCTCAAACTATTACGGCATTTCAAAATTCCGATATGATGGTAAAATCGAAAATATTATTACTCATATCTCCATCATAATTAAAACAAAAAACCTGTAAGACATCGAAAGAGATTTGGGATAAACTAAAACCATCTTACCAAAGTTCAGATCCCGCTAGAAAAGCAACCCTCCTAAAGAATTTAGTTCTATAAAAAAATGTCTCTCAAAGGGATATTCGCGATCACTTGAATGAATTCCTAGATATAGTCGATAAACTAGTCGATAATGAAGACAAAATACATCCAGAACTATTGAGTATTATGATGTTATACAGCCTTCCTAGTGCTTATGATAACTTTAGAATTGCAATAGAATCTAGGGATACATTACCAAATCCGGAAGACTAGAAAACAAGGTAATAGACCAGAGAGATCCGATGGAGCATTTGACAGCAGAAATAATAAAAATCTGAAACAAATAAAATGTGTAAACTGTAACATAAAGGGCCATTCCACTGAAAGCTGCTGGAGTAAGAAAAAGTACAATAAATATGATAATACTTTTATTAATTAGTAATTATAATAATTATCAGCATGCAAACAGATTTGTATTAGTAGTAATCTGTCATATCGTTTAAAACGCCAAGTCCCCTAACGATCAGTTCAGAACTTCAAGTAGACAATACTCTCACGTAAGAAAGTGCCATATATTTGCATTTTAGATTTTTTCAATAACCCTTTTTTAAATATTTATAAGTTTAAGTTGTCATCGTTGTTATCTATATAGTAAGTTAGAAGTAGCTACACCAAAATTAAGCTAGATACTTCAACAATAATTTTACTCTCTAGGTTCTTGTCGCTTCGCAGTTTACGAGTACAAAGAGGGAATATTTCTGTATATTTTCTAACTTAACTCTAAAATTACACGACTGACGATAGTCAATATCGAGTGGACATAAAACAATAAATATGTCTTTTAAGTCGGCATTAGGCATTGTAGGCGACGCACTACGTTAACAAAATATTGTATCTTTTTTTTATAAAATTAATTTTTTATTATATGTACGTATATATACATAAATATACACGATACGTTCGTTCTTTGTCATTTTTTAATAAATACATATGAGGGTGCGCACAATGTAATTACACAATATTGTAGTCGGATTCGGACGATCGCGGTGACGCTCGGTGTCACATATAAAATAAGTGCGTGCTCTCAGTTTGCGAAAATAAGTCGGTGTTTTAGTTCCATCCTTTACAGGCATAGTTGGCTCAATAATATACTGACATTTTACAGATTTAATATTAAATTAAAAATAACTGTCAAACTAATATATTGAAATTGGAGCACATCGGCCGCATTCAGTTATCGACGTGTGCAGATTCTGCTCGTATGCACTTTGAATTAGACTGTGCAGTATATTTGCAAAAAGTGTATGTATGAGTATGAGTATACGTATATTTTTAACTGCAATTTAATGATTTATCTCATTTATATAAAGATCTTTACTTGTTACTGATTTTACATTTAGTGCTGGTAGGTAGTTTGTATTCACACGTTTCGACTTGTAAAATGTGACAAGGATTACTTAAAAGAGCAACACACAAGTTTCTTGCTCGTGCTTCTCGTGATGAGACAGCTTTCCGAATGAGTAGTAGATAAAAAAAATATTATGACTATTCAAAAGTGCTTAAATTAAGTTTATTTGAATAAATGATTTTTTATTCTATTATGAAGCCTCGTGGTATTATGACTCAATATTTGCCATCTGAGATGTTTGTATGTAAATCATGTAAAGTGTGGGAGGAACTGTTGAAGTAATATATACCACCCTTTATATGACAACTCTATGTACAATCTATAATATTGTATACCTATTTACTCTAAGACCTTTTACCCCTCTTTCTCGTTGCATTTCTTGGAAAAAATACATAATATTACACATTTGAAACATATTTTACTGTATCAGTTTACAAAATATCACACTAAGAAATACACGATATATAAATTACGTCGTAGTTTATTGCTGATTTAACAACCCCCTACAACCTTACAAACATTCTTTTTATAATATTAGTATACATGTATCCTATATAATAAATTATAACAATAATCAATACCTTTTATTTAATAAAACTTGCATGCATTCGCTGATTTGTATTTAGCAACACAGTTGTAGCGTAATGGTATCGCTTATCATATCACAGTGTGTGATAATAATAACATATCTATGATATGATAAAAATACAGGACAATAACTTTCTCTACCGAGTTCTTGCTTTGTTTGTCTACTATATATAGAGTTAGTGGTCTATTTGTTTATAATGAAAATGTAGTTAGTGACTTACCTATAGCCAGTCAGTAGACTATATTTGATATTTTAATAGGTATTATTTGTTTTGTTGTGATAATAAATTCAGTGTGTATGATTGTAGAAACCTTTACATAATTATTATGTAGCACCAGTTTATAAAGTAAATACTTATTTCTAGCAGTAGCAATTTATAGTTATAAGCTATAAACTTATGTTATAAAACTTTTTGTAGGAATTTCCATGTATTTATTTTTTATAGTATTCTGTGTATAATATATATTTACGAAACAAAAAATATCTATGTATTTGTATCAGTTATCTAGTACCCATAACACAAGCTTTAGCTAGCTTAACTTGGGTCTAGATGGCGCTGTGTGAATTGTCCTGAGATTATTATTATTTTTATTAATATAGTCTTTTTTATTATAGTGAAGTGCAAGTAAAGCTGCAACGACATGTAAGTCTATTTATTTACCAGTATAACTTATTTGTGCGTCTAATATTATAACATATTATAAATAGTGTGAATTTACTAGATATGAATAACTACTATGTATTTTGTCATCTGCTAATACTATTAAACTTACATTATTATTACATTTACATTCGAATCGTCGTCGTTCCACATTTCCTAAAAAGATCCACAATGAAATTCCTTCACAATCAGTGTTGCCAACACAAAATATGCTAAACTGCTGTTAAAATTATACTAGGCTAATTGTTATAAAATATTGCTAAAAATATGCTAATATATTTCAATGTCAAATAAAACGTAATTTATATATTTTTTATTTATTTATTATTAAATCTTTAATAATAAATAAAAATAATGTTTACTTTTTGATATAATTAATTATGTTATCGAAGATAATTTATATCTTGGCCTTAGCCGATTGTTCAGATAGTTAGGCTAAGGCAATTTTATTTGGTGAGGTAATGTAGTAATTAATTCTAGGGTACAATGGAACTGGCACGTACTTTTAGTTTTTACAAAAGTCCCAGAATATTAAAAGAAAAATATATATATCTCGGTCTTCATCGACAGTGGACAGTTGATGCTGATCGACAGATTGCCAACAATGACAAAGATAATCGTAATAAGTATTCCGAAATAGATAATACCAACTTGCATGTGTGATAGAGACAAACTTTTGTCAGTGAAATTCTTTCTGATTATTTATTTCATGCCTAAATTTTTTTTAAACAATAATGATAGTATTAAAAATATATATTGTATATTAATTATAAATTGTAATGTTATAAATTAAATATTAAAATGCTGAGCAACAAATAAATATGCCCAAGAATGTAAAAATATGTCACATCTAGCATAAAATATGCTAAATTGGCAACACTGTTCACTACGACAATCGGGGATATCTCAATGACACAATGTGTGTTGGCCATCAAACGGTAATGACTTTTTTATGTTAAAATATATTTGTTACGCTATTGTATTAGGATATTAGACCTGTGAAATTAGTCGTAAGAGTGGAAATAAATAACAAATACGCCGCGAATCGCTATTTTATATAATTAAGAAACTTCTCACCTTAGGGTAACTAGTGGTGTACCTGAAAGTAAATAACGTAGAACAACAGATAAAGAAAAATATACCTATTCCTGAACAAAATAAATTTATATAAAATCTGGTGCCGAAAAATTTTTGTATGATTTACAATTTATTTTGTTTCAGCTATACAAAGGACGACTTGGCATCCAATTTGCGAATGACTAAGTATAATGGAAGACGACAGGGAAAATCCGTGTAAGTAGTTTCTTATTGCCAGAAGCGTAGCGTGCCTTGGCTGGGCTCCGTATAAAAATTTGTTTGGGAGCCCTTAAATGTTTACCCTTCGGGCAAATATTTCTCGCAAAAAAATTGCATAAAATTAAATTTCTTCAACATAATCATCTATCTGTCAATTTTTTCATATTAAACATAGGTGCACTCTCCTTTCCTTTTTTTCGACAAACTGATTAGCTTTATTTTGTCATTCGTGAAATTAAAAAAATTTGGATAGTTAATTTTATAAAGCTCACGTTGGGGACACCCGTGGCCTGGGGGCCCCGTATAATTGATACGGCAGATACTGAGGTAGCTACTGCCCCTAGCTTATTATACGTGTACCATGTAGCTAGTAATCAGAGTTACCTTTTCTAGACCAGTACCCTGTAATAATATTTAATGTCTTCTAACTCTCTCTCTCTTTAACTATATAGTCCAGAGCCTAATTTCGTCAATTATTTCTTCTCAACCGCAAACTTCTAAAACGGTTAAGTTAGTTACTGAAATTCAGGTGGGTTCATCTTGTCAGTATAGCCCTAATGGAAATAACAATAAGTCAATTACATCGGTTTTGACTGAGTCAATCACTCCTTGTTCTAGTTTATTCAATTCTAACTTGTCTTTAAAAACTGATAATTGTAATGTTGCACCAGTACGAAGGACAATTATTTATTCAGATGAATATGGTAAGGGTCTGGGCCGTTCATTATCAGAAAGTCTATATCAACATGTCATAAATAATTGTCTTCCTGGTGCTTCATTGCCTAATATTTTAAATAAGGTGGTTAATGGTAGGTATGATAAGTTAACCACATTAGTCATTGCTTTAGGCAACTGTTTATATGTAAAAAAAGTCATGTAATTAAACTTGTAAACTCTTTGCTTAATATTGCTGAGCTGGGCATAGGTAAAATAATATTATGTGCATTTCCTTACTGTCGTTCTCTGACCATTGAACAAAATAAGTTCATATATTATATTAATAATTTATTTTATAATATGACATGTCGTCATAATGACTTTTTATTTTTTGATAGTAACAAATTTGTTACAAACTTTTGTATGACTGGAGATAGATTTTATCTGCCTAAAAAACAAATAACAAATATAGCTAGTTTACTAGCTTATAATATAAATGACCCCATTATAAGTAATATAATGGGTTGCATTAATCCAATTAGTAGTACTTGTACTAATGTTAATACTAAACATACTGAAAATATTGACATAAATATTGATTCTAGTAAGAATCCTTTTATTTACAAAAATTTAAATATGACTGCAGATTTAAACTGCTGAAAAAGACAAAGGGAAAGCTATCAGAATTGAAAATTGTTCACCAGAACATACAAAGTTTTCTCGGCTGTGAATTAATTATTCAATTGTTTTTAGAAAAAAATAATATAGATGTTTTATGTTTAACTGAACATTGGCTCAAAGTGAGCAATATGATGTTCAGCTTAAACAATTATAATATTGTCAGCTGCTTTAATAGAAAAATAGTAAATAGAGGAGGTTCCATGATATTGGTAAAAAATAATATAAAAGTAAAAGAATGTAGTGATATTGGCAATCTTTCTGTTGAATGTTGTATTGAAATTTCCTGTGTGGAACTAGACAATTATATAGTTATATGTGTATATAGATCTCCAAATAGTGATTATAATTTATTTGAAGAGGTAATGGAGGATATTTTAAAAAGAGTATTTAATATTAACAAAAAAATTATAGTGTGTGGTGATTTCAATGTTGACATTTTATCACATAATACCACAAAAACTAAATTAATGAGTTTATTTCAATCCTTTGACTTGAGTAATGTCTTCCACGAACCCACTCGTATCACTACCACTCTGCTACTTGCTTGGATAACATATTTAGCAACAGTGAGTATTTAGATAAAATAATAATTGTTAACGCCTCACCGTAATACAATATAAATAATAACTGGTTCCTGATGCGGTGAGGCGGGGAGCGGGGCGCGCGTCGTCTAGTTTTTATGTTACGTGCATATTGCGATCTCTGTAATTGCATCCATCATTTCATTCCATTACACACCTTCCTACAAAGCGCTGTATTTTTATTTCGCATCGATATCAACTTTAACATTGGTGACCCCGACGTGATATTCTGGACTCGGTGCAGGCTGACGAAGGTTTTAATATTCAATCAAGCATCTAAATAAACAATTACGACGCGACGAGCTGACGGAGATTTGAAAAATAAGAAATTGCAATAATCAACTACGCAATTACCGGCCTATTGTGTGCATTGAACGAAATTTGTGGTTATCGACGCCATCAAAAGGGAAGTTATATCCAGTTTGAGTATTTATAATTACATAATTAGTGTTTTAAATCTCAGTACAAGTTAATATTGCCTCAATAGGTATGTACTTAGTTATTTGTATTTAATATCACTACAGTGTAAAACCGAACGCGTTTGCACCATTTTGTTAATATTAACACCCACATATTTTAGCATTAAAAACTACATTTTTTTTAGTTTTGTGACTATTTAAGATAAAATCAAGTAACAATCGTGTTATTTGGGTACAATTGAATATATTTCTAAAATACATATTTATATTTTCAAAAGTTACAATTAAAATTCATTAAAATTATAGTATATCATTACAAAATTGCGAAATATAACTAAAATAGGATATTGCTACGTAATAAGCAATAGGTATATTAGTAAAATAAATAACGATAACCATTTATTGTATTGTAAATACAATACATAAATATTAATCTACCTTAAAATCAAGCAAATACCTACTCATACAGGCCTTACAATATACAAGATTTGTGTGTAATTGGTTTATTACCTATATATATAGTGTAAATTTTTACTAAAATTAATTTACAATAAATACAAAACATTTCAATACAATTATATAAGCTAGTACTATGGTAAATTCCAGGTTTTTGTAATCGGCGACAATCATTGTATGGGCGCAGTAAGACGAACTACCTGATATTGTTGACAAATTTATGGCTGTATACGTACATAAATATATTGTATAGGCAGCGCGCATGCGAAGCTGCGCGCGCAACTAAAATATGTCAACTGTCTTGTCTCATATAAAATTAAATTAGATAAACGTTTGCTTTGTTATTTTATTTAAATATATATAAATATAATCCAGATCAAGCCCATAACTGGTGACCCCGCTCTTGGACAGAACCGTAAGGATATAAAATACATATTTTTATAGAACAAAATTACATATAAAACACAATTTTACTGATATATATGAACATCATGTCTTTGGAAAATACAATAGCTACCGAACCATCTGAACTGTTTAGAGTCGGAATACGCGTTCCTCCTTTCTGGCCGGAAGAGCCAGAAATATGGTTCGCACAAGTCGAGGGACAATTCGCAGTTTCAAATATTACATCAGATATAACAAAATTTAATTACGTTATTGGACAACTGGATCATCAATTTTCGAAAGAAGTCAAAGATATTATTATCTCTCCACCTTCCACTGAAAAATATGATAAATTAAAAACAGAGCTTATCAAACGTCTAAGCGCCTCACGTGAAAAACAAGTAAAACAACTTCTCATGCATGAGGAATTAGGAGACCGCCGCCCATCTCAATTTTTGAGACATTTACAAAGTCTCGCAGGACCCAACGTTCCAGAAGACGTCATCAAGACTATCTGGACAAGCAGACTACCACACAGCGTACAAACGGTGATAGCCGCTCAACCCACAGCGTCACTGGAGATACTTTCAGATCTGGCAGACCGCATCCAGGATATCGCTCCAGCTACACCGCAGGTATCAGCCGCTTCAGTTCCAGCATCATCGCTAGACACCATGGCTAACGAGATAGCTGAGCTTCGAAGACAGATGAAGATGCTTCTAGATCGTCAGTCTCGTTCCCCGCCTCGTCAACGAAGTCGCAGTCACTCGAAAACGCGATTAGAGTCCAACTATAGAAAATTTCCGAACTCTTGGTACCACGCAAAGTTTGGATCAAAAGCGAAGCGTTGTGTTAAACCATGTAAATATCATGCGGGAAATGCAGAGGGCGGTCTGTAATGGCGACGTACGACCGTCCCAATACGTCTGGTCGCCTGTTTGTTGTAGATCGTCGGTCGAAGATGCAATTTCTTGTCGATACAGGTAGCGACGTTTGTGTCTTCCCACGGCGAGCACTACATGAGCGTCGTCCTAAATCAGATTTTGAATTATCTGCTGCAAACGGTACAACAATTAACACATTCGGATATACTCATCTAGATTTGGATATTGGTTTACGTCGCGATTTCCCATGGCGTTTCATCGTTGGTGATGTCACTAAAGCAATTATAGGAGCTGATTTCTTGAAGTTCTATGGCCTTCTTGTAGACATACGTAACCAACGTTTGCTGGATAATACAACGACACTTTCTATCGTTTGTTCTCCTGCTCACTCATCAACTGCCATTTCTTCTATCAAGATACCAATCGGTGACTCACGGTACGACCAAATCCTGAAAGATTTCCCCGAAATCACACATCCATCTGGAAGACAAGCTGAAGTTAAGCACAGTACTGTTCATTTTATCAGGACCACACCAGGACCACCTATATCCTGCACACCACGCCGCCTCGCACCAGACAAACTAAAAATAGCAAAAACAGAATTTGAGAATATGCTGAAATTAGGTATTACACGACCTTCAGAAAGCTCCTGGGCTTCGCCACTACATCTCACACCAAAGAAAGATAATGGATGGCGACCTTGTGGAGATTATCGAATGCTGAATGCTCGCACCATACCTGATAGATATCCTGTCAGACATGTCCATGATTTCACACACAGTATATCAGGTTGTACAGTATTCTCAACAATTGATCTTGTTAAAGCCTTCCATCAGATTCCTGTTAATACAGACGATATTCATAAGACTGCCATCACAACACCATTCGGATTATATGAATTTCCTGCCATGACCTTCGGATTACGAAATGCAGGT